AAACCACAGCAGAATTATGAGCAGTGAAGTTCTGATGCAAAATTAACCCAAGGAAATAGCAGGCAGGAAAAACTGTCAGTGGGAAGCAAAACAGACATAACAGTGAAGATAGGATGGGAAAGACGTACGCTTATGGACCCTATTAATATGTTTGTTCAGGATCCCCTTTCTGGGAAAACCTTTGGCACAAAACTCGCAGGTCCAACTTCGAATTTCTGAAAAACGGAGGACAGAAACAGTGCACATTGCTGAAAATAAATCTTCTAAATATGATATTCCCTGCGGTTATTCAGGAGCGGTTACCCGGCGCATCTATATGTGGCGGATAATACAGAATAATTCAGTAAAAACCAGCTGTGGAATAAAGCAAGCTCTTGGGGCTGACGACTAAGCAGTCGCATAACAGCAGAGACATAGCCATTATGGCGGGGAAGACCATGATCTTGCACGCCAAGTGCTTATGACAATGTCGTGTTTTGATATCGCCAATGCGAGCTGGATCGGGTGTGATCACAAATGCAATACAAAAAGGTAAGTACGTTTCTTCAAAAGATAGGATGATACAATGCATCATAATTGAGCAAGTTTTTTAAAGGTGCTTTCTAAAGTGCTTTTTATTGTATAGATTTATCCCTTCGATTAAGTTGCATGGTCCTGGCCCCTTGATCATAACGATGCCAACCCGATATTATTGCCCGCAAGATTTTCAGGAAATGTGTATCGGTAAAGTCCTGCCAAGGAGTTACTCAGTAAAAGGTGACGTTTATGCCGTGGGACTCATTCGTACTCCATCACAGGAAAAAGCCAGACGGATCTAGGAAAATGCAAAAAGAAGTAAACACCACTAACGCAAACTTTTATCACTTTCTAATTCGTTTACAGGTTCCACGCCAGCAGGTTCTTCGACTTTGTAGTACTGCAGCCCTGTGAGGATGAGATGTAAGAAGACAACGACGCACCAGAAGTGTTTGCCTCCGCAAAAATTGGTAGACCAGAGGCCTTAGTGGGAATAGACGAGCATATTGCCGCGCCCAAATCCCCCGTTGGAATAATTGGGGGGATTGTTGATGTCAAACGTTCAGGGTTCACCTCAGCTGGTGAAGGTGAAGGTAACGAGGCTGGTGAGAACTTCCACTCATCATCACCGCTGCTTTTACAGTCAGTCCGACTGGATCCACTTGACTCTTGCTGGGCAAACAGTCCCCGACGTTGACGGTGTAACTAAGACCAATGTAGTGTAGGGTTATTTAAATCTTACAAGTCGATTTGGCGATACGCACTTCGAAGCCTTAATAAAGATATACCACAAACTGCTAGAATTACCTTGTGACGCTCAAGCCCGATCTTTTTGTTTGAAACTCCTTCTTCCTGTAAAAAAATAAAACCTTGTTGAAGGTAATACCAACAGGAGGTATGTGCAATATGCAAAAAAGTGAGATAAACTCGGTACCAAAAAAGTGTAATACAACCGTGCCTACCAGTCTCGAACAGCAAGAGCGATGCGCAAAAGCATAAAGAGTATTCGATGGTGAGTTTTGGCAAGATTCTGCGTACCTTTATCAACTTCTATCGGGTTCCCTCTCCTCTGTGAAGCAGCAATAATATCACCGCAAATTACGCTCATCGTGAACGCAACACAGTGATTTCACCTGTTGCGCAGTACACGACAGTTCGATTGTCCAATCCTACAATACCCACCACAGTATTTGCCGTAGGCTTCCAAGAAGCGCGGTGACTTGCACGCGAATTTAATCATAGTAAGAGTAGAGTTGCGCGCAATCTGCCGCTCACTCTCACACACGAGTTGGGCATCATGAGCAAGTCAAAAATATCAGAGGTGGGAAAGGGCACAGGCAGCTATCGCGTCCATAGATGCCCCTATATTTGGCTCGGATCTCACAGAGTGAGAATGTCGTAAAGACCCTGTTTAATAGCAGCATTTGGGCCAGACCATCAGTCCGCCACCCCAAACAGGGCATAGTTCTGTGAGTACCCGTAGAGCGACGGGGGTGCATTCATGTCAGTAAGTCATTAATTACTAATGAGGAGGCTATTTTCGATGAAGATTTCTGTTTTCGCTGTTTTCTACTCATTAACGTTCCCATAGGCATTACCCCTATTATCATCATAACAAGTTGCGTACGCTCCACCAGCGCTCCAAAGGAGAGAGGCGTCTTTCTCGCAGCCTAATAACCACTAACAGGCATTTTAGTATGCGCGAAATATGTGTAATAGGAAAGTATTCGTTGTTTTATGTTTACTTCCTTTCCTCGTGTACGGATTTTTGGTAGGCATGCATGAATTAAAAATTTTATGAATATTTTATTATTACTTGGCAAAGTAACCATGTTTGCTTTCAATACATTCCAGGCGTACGTCACTTGCTTGACTCTGGAGCCATCGTCCGTTTTTCAAATGACTGATTGATCGGTTATTTTTTAAGCAATAGGAAGCCCAAAATATTCGATACACAGAATGGAGTCATAAATGTTTTCTGTAGAACGGAAATTGGTTAAGTCAGATGCGTTGAAGGAAATAGAGCGCTGCAGCTGACCTTACATTATAAATTATGCTATTTCTACGGAAATTTTATATTTGAGGTTGTTTCAGGATTTCAGGATGTGTTCCTGGCAGAGTAAGGTAGGAGAAACGAGTTTAAATGATGCGTGTCTTTACTGTGAGCTTCGAAGTTTGTAATCTGACCGCAGAAAATATTGATATTACGTATATTTCAAGTAGATGCGAACATTCACCGATCGCTAGAACCGACATGGGTGAAGTCAGAAACATTGATCTTGTATAGAGGCGATGTATTAAGACCCATAACCATAAGGTATACTACTTCTACGGAAATATTATATGACTTCTTTACGACATCACCAAATTTGGGGGCTAAAACAACATTTTTCTAATACTCTGTCTGGATTGAAGAACGCCATCCCTATGCGATCCGAAACAGGATCTATGGCGGCGAACGGAGAACGAACTTAGGGTACAGCTGAGGAAGTCCTAAAATCAATTAGCAATTTAACGTTGTTTCCAATCCTTCTGGCTTCATGATAACGACAACCAAGACCAAAATGGACAATTCAGCTTTATCGCCCGGAATGCTTCGAAGTTTTGAAGTGTGATAGCGTTAACTTTTATTTGGAATCTGCTGATTTCTCAAAATGTCGAATTCCACGAAATGCCCTCAATGCGACTGCAAGATCACACAGCGGACGAAAGCCGTTCAGTGCCAGGGCTGTTCCGGCTGGTTCCACATTAGTTGTTAAGATGTGAGCACTGAACAGTACGAAGTCCTGAAAGAATTGGATGTTTAATGTTGTGTCATCTACTGTGAGTCATGCAGAATCCAAGCTGAGCTCCATCTTTCCACCATCCATGCCTTCAGTTCAAGCAGATGCAGACAAGGAGGCAGTCCTGCCCATTATAGCCCCTTTAGCTGCAGATTCCGCAATTCCAGAGTCTGTTGGCCGGGGTGACACGACATGTTCCTCTCCGCCTTTTGCTCCTGTTACCACGAGGCCCAAGAGGCCTAGACGACAGACAGCAACCAACCCGCCCGCGCCTGTTCCCGCCCCCGACTCGATTCCGGGGCAGACCCCATCAACAAGTGTAGCAGAACGCACGAATCCTCCGGTTGTCGCTGCAGCGCCCACAGCTATGTCGGTAAAACAACCAACTGCTGAAAGGAGACAACGCGAAAGGTGTTTGATCATGTTCAACGTTCCTGAATCGACAGACGGCGATGCCACCTCCCGATTAAACTTTGACAAAGCTGAGATCGATCCCATATTGCAACGGCTGTTAGAAAATGCTCGTGAGGAAATCGCGGTTAACCAAATGATTTGGCTTGGTGCCAAATCAGAAAGCCGCCCACGCCCGATAAAGCTCATATTCGAGTCATCTGTGATTGCTAAAAAATGGCTGTCCAGATGTTATAAGCTCAAGGGCCTACCGGTATCAGTATAACAAGACCTTTCACCCGAAGAACGTGAAAAACGCCGCATAGCCGTCCAAGAGCTAAAGCGTCGGACACTCACCGGCGAAACGGAACTGATAATCCGGAATTTTCGGGTTATGAGGAGACGCCGTCTCCTCACTGCAC